AACGTAAAACGATCAACACTTAAGACTATGTTGGGTACAAAGGCATATAAAATAATTTACGTTACGTACCTGCTTATCCTCATTTACCTAGACAATTGAAATATACCAAAATAATTGATTGGTTAAAGAATTGTTATCAAGTGAAAACATATCAAATTTATGAACGATTTAAGCGGAGCAATCAGTAAATGAATCTATAATAAATTTTATTGTAAGATTAAAATCCCTTTTGAATTTGCTATATTCTTTAAAGGCAAATTAAATCTATGATTTGCACAGACCAAAATACATTCAATAATTTGATATTTATTTCTTTTCATACTTTTTTTATATTATTTGCATTATTAATTAATATAGTGTAAATTTTTTTTTTATTTCTTCAATTACTTTAATAAATCATTAGATATATATATTCCTCCATATGCATATTGGTCATAGGGCTTGGGGTTAGAATAAAATTTATAATGCATTTCCCTCTTATATTTGTCAACCCATCACTAATAAGATTTAAATTTTTATCGAATAGTTACTATATTTTTAATCCTTTCATATTTATGGTTTAGCTAATATTTACTGAGTAAATATCTTGAAGACATTTTAAATGCAGGTTTTAAAGATAGAAATAATTTTTCCAATACACACATTAAATTAAGGGAAAGAGACAAATTGACATTAAGTCAGCTGTTGCAAATTCATTAGATTCTTACTTTGTTCTCAGATGATGCTCTATCAATATATTTCATTAAATTGTAATTGGGAATAATTAATTGATTCAGCCAAAATAATTTTAAAAATTAGATTTGTTATCAAAAAAATTAATTAATCCTATTTTATCTCATCTCCCAAACCTTTAATTAACTACCAACCCCATCCCATATCTCTCTAACTGTTAATTCTACTCATAATTCTTACCTCAGTTATTATATGTTTTAACTTTTAATATTTTACTGATAATTAAATTTCCTTCAGGTGAAAATTACTTGAGTTGAGCTGTTATTATATTGTCGATAATGATTGATGATGAATGTTTAAATACAGAAATAAAACACAATTATGATTTATGAACAATGAGGAAAAAATATTTTAGTAAAATATGATAAAATCGTGATTATTTGATCAAAAAACACATTATGAAAATTGGGAAAACTATAGAGTTCAAAATTTTCTTTGTGCTACATCTAAGGATGTCAGGGCCGTAGCCAGAAATACTTAGGGGGCCAAGTGCTTACTGGGGGGGGGGGCACTATTTTTTTAAAATCAAACAAATAATTACGCATTCATATAATTTTTTCCTATTTTTATTAAAAATTTAATAACAAAATAATACTATAATATGAATATACAAAACAAAATAATACTATAATATGCATATACATAACAAAATATTACTATAATAGAATACGGCGATTTTTATTTTTAAATTTTAATATAAATGAACTAAAAGATAAATTCTGCGTTATCCTTTTCTAACGCCATTAATACTAAATTTTGTTTACGTTTATCCTTCATAGATTCTCTACTTCTCGATAAAACTCTCTTTAATGTAGAGAACGAGGCTTCACAAGAAGCCGTTGATATCCCAATGATTATCGCTGCTGAGTAGCATTTATATAATTCTTTAAATGCATAATTATATTTTTTTTTATACATAATATGTAAGATATTTTCAAAATTATGATTTTCTTTAGCTTCCGTAGCTAGCAATCCTTTTGCTATCTTAATTTCATGATGCAGTGTTTCCATATTTAAGTTTAACAGGGATTTTAATGGGGCCATTTTATCTGATAAAAAATAATCAGTGTCAAGGGGGGACAATGTATTAAAAGATGAAAAAAGATTAAAATGGAAATTTTTAGGCGTTTTACGTACCCGCGATGATTTTTGGGGAGTAAGATTAAATTTTGATAAAAGTTTTTCAGCCTTAATCATACTCATAGCAAAAGTATTATCACTTCTTTTATTTTTTAATATATTGATAGTAGAATCAATACAATTTTTAGCATCCACTAGATTAGTACCTACTGATTGTAGATACTTATTTAGTGGATCTATTGTAATTAATATCTCATAAATTATGATAGCTAATATAATGTAATTTATATTAATAGATAAAAGACCAGAGACTTCGACTGAATCATGAATTGAAACCTCTGAATTAAGAGTTCTATTAGAAAAGTAAAATAATACTTCACCAATAGCCTCAAAATTCTCATAAATAATGCTATATGTTTCCAAATGACCAGTCCACCTCTGGTCTAAAAGTCTCTTAAGGGTGTGGCCTGTATATTTACAGGATACGTTAAAACGCCTGAAAAAATTATACAATGCATTTGATAAATTAAAAAAATTAGAAATAATAACAATATTATTATACCAATTTTGAACCACAAGATGCAACTTGTGGTTGTAGCAATGTATAAAAGGAACATTTTTATTAATTTTTTTTTGAAGAAGTGTTTGCACTCCTCTATTTCGGACAGACATAACGTTTGCACCATCATATGCCTGGCTAATTATATTAGCTGAATTAATATTTAGATCATTAAGTTGCTTTAAAATGCAATCTGTAATGCTTTCAGCAGAAAGACACTCTAAATTAATGATTCCTATTAAATTTTCTTGGATTTCTCCAGAAAAAATATAGCGAATTATTATGCTCAGGTTTTCACAACCTGAAGCATCTTTTGTCTCATCAGCCTTAAGACAAAAAAAAGGCATCTCGCTTTTATTATATTTGTCTGAAATATGTTCAAGCACCATATCTGCCATAATGGATATTACTTCGTTTTGAATCTGTGGTGATGTATACAGGGCATTTTGGGGTATAAATTTCATAATTTTATTTAATTCAGGGTCTTTTTGGATGGTGTAGGAAAACATTGCTATAAATAGCCCAGAAGAATAAATTATGTTTTCATATTTTGCAGCATCCGTAATATTTGTTGAACCAGTCCCACGGAAAGGTAGCTCTTGTATGCTAAGAAATGCATCAAATCAAATATTGATTTAATATAACATTGATTACGATTAATTTGATCACCTCCCAACATTTTAGTTATTTCTGTAGCTTTATTTATATTTTGATTTTTATCATGCCATATTGTAATTGAATTTAAATGAGCTTTTGAGCTCTCGTGTTTTAGCAGTCCCTTCTTGGCAGCTAACGCATTTTTCCAATTTCTGAATCCCGTTTGTCCAAATTCATCACTTGGATTACACAAGTATTTCCTACATGTAAAACAAAAGGCAGCGTCAGCTTCTACACTATACTCCAACCAGTCTCGGCCTCTATACCATGATTTTTGAAATGATCTTTGCCTTCCATGGATATCTTTTTTCGCGTAATTGTTTAATTTGATTTGATTTATTCTGGCCAAGGTCACCTGAGATTTGAATTGAACCATTAGAGGACTTTTTTGACACTAAAAATATTATAATTAATAAATTGTAATGAGGGAAAGGGTCATAAATAATAATGGTCATCAGGATGGGCGAAGGAAGGGCATGCTGAAAATGAACAAACACAAAATTTATCTTGTATTTAAGATACAAGTATTTGCTATACTGTAGTGCAAACCCTGATGAAGATTATCAGTAAAGTTGATCAGTAAAATTATAAATATTCAGTATTAAAAACTAGAAAAGGGTCATAAACATTATATCTTTAAAGATTAACAAAAAAATATAATATTTTTATATTAAATCAATTACTAGTTGCCTCTTGACAATGAGAGACTGAGCTGCTAGATGAAGATGATCGAGTATCTTCTTCGTCTTTATTTGTTTTAAAATCAAAATGTAATAATGAAACACCATAATCTCCTACTCCTATTGATATTGTCAAAAATATATAAATAGAAAAATTTGGGTTAAATTTTAAACTATTTACCATCTTCCTCCTCCTGAGTGTAGTGAGGATCATTTTCTAGATTATTAGCTTCATTCATATCTTGAAATATGAGTGAATATATTTATTTTAATAATTAAAATTATTATACAAAAATGATAATATTAATAATAAATGTCTGTCTCTTATCTTATATAAAATAAATATATATGAAATAATATATAGGTATTGCCCTATATCAATATCATATAAGTCATGAAATAATAATATAAATTTATACTAAATATGAGAAGAATCAGTTTCTGAAATTTCTGATGTAGTATTACTGGTAGTTTGTAGAGGTGATGTTGCTTGACATTTGTTTAACTTTAACTTAAAATAAGAGTTAATAACTGATTGTTTCTTCGTAATTTTAAAATAAACGCTGTAAAATAAAATAACTGGTTATATATTATAATATAAATGTGATACCTATAGAGAATGTTACAAACAACATAAAAAATGGAAAAAAATGAATGAATGATAATTTAATATTGGGTAAAAATAAAAATAAAAATAAAACAGGATAGAAAAAAATTAACAAACTAGACATGTTTGTAGAATAAATATTCAAAATTTATTTTAAAAATATAAAAATAATCAATTCTAAATAGACATGTTTTTTGAATAAATATTCAAAATTTATATTAAAAATATAAAAATAATCAATTCTAAAAAAAAATTTCAATTGGAGGGGGGGGGGGCAGAAAAATTTTTGGGGGCCAAAGGTTTTTTCTGGGAGCCAGGTTTGCCCCCAAAAATTTTTTTGCCCCCCCCCACCCCGTGGCTACAGCCCTGCAGGATTTATAGAAACCCTATAAATTTCAGACAATTTTATCATGAATTAAGATAACCTTTTTTTTAAATATAACCTTTTCTTTATTTCAATACCACTTATTTTTTGAATGGGAATATTATCTTAATGACACAACTAACCGTAGTTAACTCTATTAGGTCTTTATCTAATGTTATTTTAAATTATTTTCAAATAAAGTACGTTACCCTTAAGATAGTCTTAGAATCGTTGCATAACACGGAGAAACATCAATCAGAATTAAGATTAATCATATTTAAATTTGTATACAATTTACATTTGAACCAATATTTGATAAAGCCGGATCTTCTCTCAACTACTAATTATTACCCATCCTCGTCTACTATCACCAAAGAAAATAGGAGCATTTGCGAAAATATCGACGCTGAAAATAGTACGAATTCGAAAAACGCCCAATATTATTCCTACACTTTACCATTACAATATCGGCAGGTACCACCTGGAAAACTCTTGACAGCCTTTTACGGTTCCCATATTACTTTAGTTTGTTGCCCAATCGGTTTTCTTTGCCGATCCGAACAATTATTCCAATTTGATTCTATTTCCAAAACTCTTATTTCAGGAACATTTTTGGCGCCAGGTTTGGGGAGTGTCCAAAATTTTATATGATTAGTATTACTAGTAAATTTTCTCACGAAGTATGGTGATCATGGTCTAAGTACAGCTTTTTTTGTAGATAGATAATTAAAAAGGTTCAAACAAAGTGTTTTCCTTTTCGATATATTTTTCTAGGTTTGCGTTCAATATTTAGATGTTAAAAGAATCTCTTTGAAATTTTGTGCGTAAATGCTTAATATTATCCATGATTAAAAAACGTTTTGTAAGTTTTAGGGCCATAAGTATCTTTTTGTGTTCTTTATGTATTTATAAATATTGCTATAAACGATTAAATACAAAAATGCCCCCCCCCCTGCCCACTTAAGACTAACAAAATAGAAAGTTTAAACTCTACCTCAAAGTTTAAAATCGCAAACTTCGTATCAGGTCAATTCAGTATGTCGTTTTTCGCGAAAAGTTTTTAAAGCGAAGGTAAAATCGCGAAACCAATTCTGCGAATTTTTTTCGCGAAACATTTATAGCGAAGACAATTTCGCGAAGCTATTGTCGCGAATTTATTAGAGCGAATACATTTTATGCGAACACTTTACAGCGAATTTTTTACCGCGAAATCGCGAACACATTACCGCGAAACAATAAATATATTGCGAATGCATTTATTTAAAGGAAAACAACATATTATTTATTATTTGACTAGTTGATAACCCATCAAGAATGACGGGAATAAAAAAATCATGAACTATTACAGGAAATTTTTTTTTGAGAACATTCAGTGAATTTTCTAAAATTTGGAAGTAAATTCCATTAAATAAGGAGATTGAAAGTATTTCTTTTTTCCATTATATAAAAATAGCTGGTAGTAATTGAGGTATCGTTAATAGCCTGGATAACCTGATCAAACGCATGTCGCTGTAAAACATTTAGATTGGCTAACATTACCATTGCGACATCTGCTTCTATTATTGGGTCATATAAATTAGATTGAGTGATAGGGTCAGGAGATGGAAGATTAAAATCGTTGCAATTGAACCCAGGACAAGCAACACAGGTTAGAGGTAAGACATTTTTTTGTTGTCCTCTAAGATAGTGTAGTAGAGTATTATAAAGATATGTCGTCTTACCTGATCCACCAGGAGCATCTATACAGAAAAATCTGGTAGTAATTGAGGTATCGGCAATAGCCAGGATAACCTGATCAAAAAAAGCATGTCGCTGTAAAACATTAACTCCTTACATAAAGATTTTATGAAAAATATACGTTCACCATTGCAAAATATGGTAGTAAAAATTTTTTTTTATCTCAACCACAATATGGGAACTTTGCAAATAGCTTAAAATTCCTATTTATCAATATCTTCCCATGCCAGAAAATTAACCTTCCTCACTAAACCTAAGTACTTATTATAAATTAGATTTAACAAATAAATTTAAATTATATTTAGCCAATTGAAAAATAAACATTTATCTCATATTACCAACCCAAAATAAGCCAGTATTCTCAAACAATATTTGAACTCTGGAAATAACATACAATACCAATTTATACCTACATTTTTAAATATTCTGTATCATAAGAATCTCAAATAAATAAATAAAGTTTGCTTAGTTAATAAAGAAAATAATTAAACATCTGTTTAATTACTGTCTCTTATATGCTGGGGCCTTTGGCAGATATACTATTATGTCCTGTTGTAATCATTTCGTTATTAATATCAACATGTGAAATGCAGATTGAGTATGGGTCAGTTGAGACTTTAAAATTATTTTCTGATAACCAGAGGTAAGCTCAAACATGATTTAAATCTTGTGCCAACCTGGTGGTGATTTATTCTGTAATAATATCTATAAAAATTAAACATCTTTTTAATTACTGTCTCCTATATTTTGGGGCCTTTGGCAGATGTACTATTATGTCCTGTTGTAATCATTTCGTTACGATTTTTTTAATTAAAATAAAAAATGGTTGATTTTAAAATTAAATAATATAAATAACTATAAACCAATAAAATAAGAGCTTAATAAGCCAATAAAAATAAAGATTAATAAGCCAATAAAAATAAAATTGCATAACAATAACATATATAAGAAAGATTATTACAAAATTTAATATAGAAGGTGGCTGAGTGGGAAGAACGTTTCCCTTTAAAACGTTAAGTCATGGGTTCGAATCCCGTTATGTACAAAAAATTTTCTTAAAATTTAACATGAGAGAGATATAGTCTCCATCGATTTATTTAACATTAAGAAGATAGGAAAGTTGATAGGAAAAATTAACATTAAAAAGATAGGAAAGTTGATAAGAAAAATAAAAATTAACATTAAGGATATACGAAAACGTTCATTTCTTGATTACGGTGATTATATATATAGATGTTTTTTAATAAAAAATGATATGCTGTAATATTATTTTTGTTACAATTTATTAGTGATTTTCAAGCCCAAGATTTTAAGTAAAAAATATTTCTTGAAGTTCAAAAAGATTTTTGAACATATTTTGATAAAAATTTTAAATCTTCTTTGTAAATATATCTTTTTTAAGGAATCTTTTGTGAAATTTATTATAAATTATACAATTTTTAGGTGAAATCTTTTATAGTTTTTTTTATCATTTTTGTAAAATTATCTATTTTTTAAATATTTATATTTAACTTATTTATGTTATTTTATATGATCTGTTTAATGATAATATTTTGATGTGACAATTGTCATATTGGTTATTTTTTAAGATTTTTGAAATTTTTTGAATCAAAAGGGTAAAAATATCATTTAAATTCAATGAAGATGTTCCTTGGAAAAATAATTATCATAATCGGTATTTTTAAACGGTATCGCGTCATTACAGAGAAACTTTTACAGAGAAAACAATTATAGAGAAACTTTTACAGAGAAAACCATTATAGAGAATGTCGTTTATAGAGAATTATTTTATAGAGAATGTATTTTACAGAGAAATTTTTATAGAGAAAACAATTATAGAGAATGTCGTTTACAGAGAATGATTTTATAGAGAATGATTTTACAGAGAATGTTTTTATAGAGAATGATTTTACAGAGAATGATTTTATAGAGAATGTATTTTATAGAGAATGTATTTTATAGAGAATTATTTTATAAAAAAAAATATTTAAAGAATATGATTATTTTATAAAAAAAATTTTTTAAATATGATTAATTTATAAAAAATGTTATAAATTTTTTTGTAAATTTATGTACTCTGCATAGTCAAAGGGGGAAAAAAATTATATGAAATATTATTAAATATTAAAATTACCTTATATAAGCGAATTATTGGGCAGTTTTTATTGTAAGAAAATTATTACAATCGGCAAAATAATAAGAGTTAAAATATAAAATTATAAAAACACTATTTTCGAATTTTAGAAAGTTTTTTTATAATCTTATATCGTGTTTAAATAAAATTTTAGAAGGTTACAATTATATTAGTATCAAGTGGATAGTAAATTCAGGGCAATCAGCTCTGTATAATATTATAATGTAAAAAAATATAAATTTATTATTTAAATATATTTATAAAGAGTAACTAGTTACTTTGGACAGTTACTTTGTATAAAATGTAGTAAGCTACAGTTAGGATTTTTGTAAATGTAACTAGTTATAGTTATCTTTTATCAAATCTACTTAATTTAACAACACTTATGTTATTTTAATTCTTCTTATAATATTATTTTTCCTAAAAATTTTAAATTATAGTTGTGAAACACGGATAATTCTTTCTTTAGTTAAAATATATTTGTCACCTTAATCGTACAATCAATGTGCTATATCAAAATATTTTTATGGCATAATTGTTTGGTTATCAATTGAAAACAATCTATATTATTTTATATAAACGGCTCTCTATCATTCTTTTTTCTATAAATTTTTTTCTATATAATTGTCTTTTTCTGTAAATTTTTTCACTTTTTTTTTTTAAATTATGGCTGAATTTATTTTAAGTAGTCGAAACAATCAGTTACTACTTCTTGATTTTTACCTCTTTCTAAAGGAAAAAACATCAAATCAAACAACCTATTGGAGATGTATTCAATTCCATGTGGATAAATGCAGTGGGCGCGCCCGAACTAAGAACGGAATACCTATATTCCACAATAAAAAACATAATCATGTACCAGACATTGCTGATATTGAAGCAAGAAAAGAGATGAATAAAATCAAACAAGAGGCTTCTAGTACCCAATCTCTGCCCAATAATATAATAGCCGATATATCTAGCAATATATCTATAGACGCCATTGGGAAAATGCCTAGTTGTTCCTTAATTAAAAGACAATTCAAAGAAAAAGACGCCAAGTAGGAAGAGCGCCTGCCATTCCCTTAAGCCTGATTGACTTGGTCATACCTATTGAATATCAATTATCCAATGATGATGAACTTGTTATATGATAGTGGTCATCATGATCACCGATGCCTCATATTTTCAACCATAAAAAATTTAAAATTTTTATCAACATGTGATAAATGGTATGCAGATGGCACATTCAAGACATGTCCACCTCTCTTCCAGCAAATATACACCATCTACGGGATGAAACATAAAACCATTATCCCAGCTATTTATGTCCTGATGACATCACGTCGCCAACAATATTACCTTAATATTTTCAATCAAATAAAAAATTTCCAAATTTTTTTAAATCCTAAATTCATCATGATCGACTTTGAATTAGCAGCCTTATCTGTTTTTAAACAGTCGGTTCCACTGACTGCGATCCGCGGGTGCCTGTTTCATATGTCGCAATGCATATGGCGCACTGTTCAAAAAAATTCATTAATTTGCAATGCATATAAAACGCAAACAAATTTTGCTATGTACATAAAAATGTTAATGTCACTGGCATAGTACCAGTGGAGGATGTAATTCATGGATTCGAGGAATTATGTGCCTCTGAATTCTATCAAGAAAATAGAAATATTCTCGCCCCCTTGATAGAATACTTTGAAGAGACTGGGATAAAGCCCTTAAATAATCCAGCATAGTTCTTGAATAAAAATCTCCAACAA